CCCCCGCCGTCCCGTCCCCTCCGCGCGCGCAGCATCCGCGGTGACGCTCCTCCCCCTCCCGTCGCCGGCAGCCTGTCCTCGCAGCGTCTTCCCTGGGGACAGACGTCCTAACGGAAGCGCTTCCGGTCGAGGGTCCTGGGGGTGACCTGCGTTCTCAGCCCACCCTCCTGGTCTCAGAGCTGCCCTGGACGCCCCGAGACGCCCCCCGGCTGCCCTCGCTCTAGGGAAGTGGCTGGGCGCGCCCCTCGCACGGGACGGCTTGTTGGGGGAGGGGGGTCAGAAGAGCTGTCACCTGCCCTGGAGCGGGGAGGGACCCCTCAGGCCCCTCCGTCGACTCTGAGCTGTTCCTCCCCGAGTCCCGGTTTTTCTTCTTGGAGACACCGTGGTGGGTGGTGTCCTCTGACCTACGAGATGCTGGCAGTAAGGGGGACAGACGGACATGATTCCTGGCCCCTGGGTTCTCGCTGAACCGAAGAGATCAGAGAAACCCAAACCTGGGAGGGAGGGTACCCGCCCGAAAGGCAAAATGCACTTCAGACACCCAGTGGGGACACCAGCGGAGTCAGTCAGGAGGTTCGTGTTTTAGTGTCCTAGGACTGCTGTACCAAATGACCACAAACTGGACGTCAAAACTACAGAGAGTTATTCTTTCATGGGTCCCTGGAGAGTGTGTAGTAAGTTTGTCAGGTCTGTTCTTTTGAGTGGTAATAAGTGGAATTCAAGGGCTTAGCCTTGAGAATCCTACCGGGGAGAAGAATCTCAGAGAAACAGAGAAAATCTCCCTTCCGATATGGCTGCAGAAAAGTGAACGCAAGTCCACCAAAAGAGTGAGGGAGATACATTGGCGAATTACAGAGATTCACGAAAATATCAGTTACTGTCCTTTGTGGCCTGGAGATTTAGTGATTTTGTTTTCTGTTGTCTTGACTTCGGAAATTAATGCTAAACGCTGGGAGGTGAGACTTGTAACACTAGACAAGTTCAAATAGGATTGTTCACAAATAATTTGTTTAGATGGAAATAATAACTAGCTGGCATCTTTATTTTTTTGAAACAGATAGATAGTTGTGGATTTTCTTCTTTTTTTTTAAAAAAGATGACCGGTAAGGGGATCTTAACCCTTGACTTGGTGTTGTCAACACCACGCTCACCCAGTGAGCGAACCGGCCATCCTTATATAGGATCCGAACCCGTGGCCTTGGTGTTATCAGCACCACACTCTCCCGAGTGAGCCACAGGCCGGCCTGTGGATTTTCTTCTTGACCTGTAAAAAGTGCATTAGAATTTTCTTCCCCCTTTTATATATAAACACTGGATTTGTGGTTTGTCTCTTTTAAATGATCCACGGGTGTCCAACTGAATGAGTCACCTGGAGTGGGGAGCAGGGGCCTGAGGCCAATGGCTCCAAGCTCAGGCCAGTGGTGAACCTCCAAAGGGAGAAAAGCGAAGTTGGTTCTTCCCGGGGACCCTTCCCTGCAGGTGTGACAGCCTGCTCAGCCATCCGCAGAAGGAGGGGGTACTGCAAGAAGCTGCAGAGTGTGGAGAAGCCACATGTCCACGTGCAGATGCGGGTGGGGTGATGCTGTATCTTACCTTTCCACTGTAGTTGTCTTGAGAGTGAGTTCTGACACCAGTTTGCCGCAGAATTGGTGGCATCGAAGTGCATGTAGTACAAACTGAGGAAGGCTGTGACGTTCAGACTTAGATATTTGGATTCTGTCCCCTGGAGACAGGATTTTGGACTTAGAAACATGGTTCGGCACAGAATATTACACTGACTCTGGGTGAGGACATTGTCACTCATGAGGTTGGAGGCCCAGGAGAAGGGAGCCTTTCTACAGTTGGCAGAGAAGGAGGGGGGGGGGTGTCCCAAAGATAGGTCCTCTGGCTGTCCAGCTTTCCCTCTCTCGTGGCCAGGAACTGAGCCACCCTGGGGCTACATCTCCACAGTGAGGGTGTGGATTCCAAGCTTGGTTTCCACCTTGGTGTTTTTACTCATAAACCATGGGTGTACCAGGCTGCTTCTCTGAGTTAATTCAAGTGTTTGGTTTTCTTTGGTTGAGAATCCAAGTGAATGTAGAGACAGTGTCAGGAATACAAGAGTATTTTGGAACACAAAGTAAATTTGGTAATTTTTCTGAGAGACTATCCAATAATGAGATGGGCATATTTAAATCCTCAGATGTACATTTGCAGCTGGAAGAAGATTTTTTCCAGATCAGTGTGGGTGTGTCCCTAGAGAATTTCTAATTTTCAAAGGCCATGAAACCTCTGTGACCATTGAATTCCTATTTTAACCAATGTAAGATTAAAGCTTTAAAAAATCTTAGCATGGGGGGGCCGGTCCGTGGCTCACTCGGCCCGTGGCTCACTCCGAAGTGAGCTGACCGGCCATCCCTATATAGGGATCCAAACCTGTGGCTTTGGTGTTATCAGCACCACACTCTCCCAAGTGAGCCACGGGCTGGCCCTAATGTGATGTTTAAGAGTCTGCCTTACGATTTACTTCTAGCACATCTTTGACTGTAAGCCTCTTGCCCCAGCCCAACCCTAGATACCAATTTTATTAGTTTCTTGAACATCCTGTCAGTATTTCTTTGAGTAAAACCCAGTGTCTTAGTTCTGGCTGCTCTAACAAGTACCACAGGCTGGGTGGCTCAAGCAGACGTTTATTTCTCACATTCTGGAGGCTGGATGTCCAAAATCAAGGTACGCTGGTTTGGTTGCTTATGCGGGCTCTCTTCCTGGCTTGCAGACAGCGGCCGCCTTTTCACTGTGTCCTCACATGGGGGAGAGAGAGAATCTATCTCATCTCTGCTCTTAGTGCACTAATCCCATTCATGGGGCTCCACCCTTGTGACCTAATTACCTCCCAAAGGCCATACCTCCTAATACCATCACCTTGGGGGTTAAAAGTTCAACATATGAATTTTGGGGGGACACAAACATTCAGTCCATTGCAGCCAGCGCTAACATATTTATTTTCTTTCCCCAGAGGTACCAGGGCTGATACCCTGCAGTACACTTTGTTGTTCAGCTGTCAACGAGTCCTTCACCTCCTCTCATGTCAGCACGTGACCTCCTTGCTTTTTATTAAGGTCGATAAGATACCACTATATGACCAGTTTTTCTTAAATGATAAAATAAATATATGTAAATTATGTCCTTTGCAAGCTTAATTAGTGATTTAATATTTGATTGTGAAATACATCTTACTTGCAGAAGAAGTTTTATATTAAGTTTAAATAATGATAACACATACAAGTACACATTCTCAGATTTACCACCCAGATCAGCAAATAGGCCATGGACAGTTTTTAGAGTCTCCCCCAGTGCCCTCCCTGATCTCATCTCCCTCCTGCCCCCAAGGTGACCACTGTCCTGACTTTTGTGTTTATGTCTTATAGCTTATCCCTCTTATTTGTTTGAGCTATATTTTCTTTTATTACTGTTGCAGCTTTTCCAGGTAAAGAAGTTAGACTCAGTGCTCCAAGATTCTCAATTTTTTAAAAAATAGTTGGACTTTGCTTTTATAAGGAGCCAAAATCCAGTATTGCAACTAGTGACCATTTTTCCCCCAATTTTTTGGAGGTTAGTTCCAATTTCAAATAATCTGTCACATTGTCTATTTACTGTACATGAAGCTGGAAGACCCTGTATTCCCACTTTTTGGTTTGGAAAATAGCGCACAGTTACTAAAGCGGTTAACATTTGGTAGCAAGTAACTGAAACCCTGTACGGTGAATGTAATGGTTCACTCTAGACTCTAGAAAAGTCTAGAAGACCTGTGGTCTTGGGGTTAATGGTTCACTCTAGACTCTAGAAAAGTCTAGAAGACCTGTGGTCTTGGGGTGAGGTTTGGTCAGGTCTCTGGCTTCATTTCTGTGAGATCTTTTTAGCTCTGCCCACCATGTTAGTTATCTCCATCTGCAGGTTGGGTACTCCTCAGGAGAGCTGAGGCAGAGAATTTCTAGCTAGGTCCATAGCCATCTCTTTGCCATGCCTAAGCTGTACATTGTTTACTTTTCCGTCTTTTGAACTCTCTACGTAGATAGTAGTGGAGTTAGTGAATGACTTCTTCTCTTGATCCTTTGTGTTGGTGTGTTTCATACCTACTGGTATTTGGGGCCGTCCAGTGTACTCACCCATTCCAGCATTTATGGGATTTGGGTTTATTTATTTATTTATTTACTTACTTACTTGCTTACTTGCTTACAGAAGGCTGTGGTTACACAACACTAAATACCAGTGTACCAAGAGTAATTAGGGATGCCCCAAACATCAGACTTCACTCACTGACCTCACAAAGAAGATAGTTCCCATCCTGGAGCACTGTAGCTCTCCTGCTGTTTATCGTACAGGCAAATGGCAGCAGCTGTATTGCAGCATGGCAGCCCGTATTTCCACCCCAGCATGTGGAAGCCAAAGCCATGATGCACTTTCTCAGAGGCCAGACTTTCTGGGATCCTGCAGAATTTCAATTAATCTAATTCTGCAGTAGGACTCATAACCTCTGCTTCTCAGGCAGGAAGGAGCACTCTTTCTGGAGAAGACAGGGCTATTCTGGCCTCTTATGACCACTGTCTGTGTGGTGAGAGAGTTGTCACCCATGATTGCTGGTTAGCCACACCCAGGCCCATGAACGTGGGTTTGTAGTGAGGTCTGAATCCTTACGCTTCCCTTCCTGCCTGAGCCCAACTTTTCAATACAGTGCCTGTCTCCAGGAAGAGGATGTAGTGAAAGTGGAATTGCTGTTTGATTTATTGAAAAATTGGATACAAATAATTTGATACAAATATTAACACTTCTCATAAAGAATATTCTTATTCCACCAATTGGACCTGTCAGTTTATAAAAAATTGGGGTTCTTCAAGGAAATACATCTATCTCAGGGCTTGGGTTGAAGGTTGGGCATAGTCAGGCCTCTGAGAATCAAATTGTTGGTTGAGGGTAAAGAAGGAAATGGTCCCAGGCCTCAGTGTGTTTTCATTCATTAAAACCTTATCCAGGTCTGACCCTTGCTGCATGTCATGCCGAGAACTATTGTGGACAGTGAAAAAAGAGATGAAATCATTTTTGTCACAAGAAATTGATGTTTTTATTTTATTTTAAATTTTTTATTTTTATTTTTTTCAGTGAAAAAAGAGATGAAATCATTTTTGTCACAAGAAATTGATGTTTTTATTTTATTTTAATTTTTTTATTTTAATTTTTTTAAAAGATGACTGGTAAGGGGATCTTAACCCTGGACTTGGTGTTGTCAGCACCACGCTCAGCCAGTGAGCGAACCGGCCATCCCTATATAGGATCTGAACCCGTGGCCTTGGTGTTATCAGCACCGCACTCTCCCAAGTGAGCCACGGGCCGGCCCAAAATTGATGTTTTTAAAGAGGAAATAATTGTTCCATTTCCCCAGCATTTCTTTCATTTCATCAGGGTATTGTAGACTGTTCTGGACCCTTCAGATGGAGAGGAAGTGTGGAAGAGTGGAAGTAGTCACAGTCAAACTGCAGAGAGATGAGTTTACTAGACATGCTGTTAGATCTCTGAGGCAGGATGGGATCACTGTGGAAGAGAGTGCTGAAACAGAAGGGAAGCGATAGGATGGCAGAGCCCTAGAGCAGATGGGAGACCACAGCCCTGTGTGTGAACTTGCTGCGAACTGAGTCCCCAGTGCCGTCAACCTCACCCACTCTCATGCACACCCTGGTGAAGAATGCTTCCTTGTTGAAGCAGAATTCGTTGGATGTTTTAGGACTCAGTGGTCTTTGAGGATGTGGCTGTGGACTTCTCCCCAGAGGAGTGGGCTTTGCTGGATCGTGCTCAGAGGAACCTCTATATAGAAGTGATGCTGGAAACCTTCAGGAACCTGGCCTCAGTAGGTAAGGACCACATCGTCCTTCACTTCCTCCTTTAGACAGAGTGCAAGTTTTCCCTAGCTACGGAGCTCATTTCAAAGTTCGGGCTGACCAGTGAGAATTTACTACTAAGTTAGACAGACATGGTTGCCTTGCTTATGGAGCGTGTGATCCAAGAGCTTTCTCATGGATGTATTGAACCTACTACTTCCTCTCTTAAATGCTTTTGGCCTCCTGAAAGGTTGTTATTCTGTTGCCTTAGAGAAACAGCCGTTGTTGGAGATCATGAGGTTTGGAAATATTAACGAGCAAAATAAATGAATCTTCTTACTGAAGAAGTTGATTTTGGCAGATGCCTTGGCTTCCTTGTTTGACTTTTCGTCCATCCTTTCACAATGTCCTTGTTCTGCATGGAAGACCTTCTGTACAAAGTTAGGATTTGGGCACGTTCCCTTGTCCACTTCTTTCCGTGTTGCTTTCCCGATAAAAAAGCATTTATGTCACCACTAGTCTCAGTCTTCTGGGAAGTATTTCCAGTACATCGTCCACCATTTTGACTTGTTGCCTGTGTTCTCGTCAAAGTCCTGAAACAGCTAATACTCCTCAAAGTTCTCTGTTGCTTGAGTGTGCATTCTTCCTTATAAAATTTATTTTTGGATTGCTATTTGAAAATAAATGTACATGCTGTCTACTTATTTTCTTGCCTTCATCCTACCAGTTCTTTCCAAAGAAAGTAAATTTTGTTGCCATTTGTTTAATGTTATAACACTCAGAATTAATGGGTCAAATCCTCTATAGTATGTATTTGGAAAAGAAATACAAAATAAACAGAATATAGTGTGACTCAAAAAAAATGATTACTTGTTCTTCATTTTAGGAGAAAACTGGAAATGCCATGGCACTGAAAGTCATCCCAAGAACCAGGGGACACATTTGAGGTGAGTGATGTTTACACCAGCAAGAATAGTGTCTCAGGAGAGAGGATTAGAGTGCCACGATTGTGTGTGTGTGGATGTGTGCAGGTATGTCAGATGTTAAGCATTCACAGAAAAATTTCACGAGACAGTTTTATACAAGTGATACGGATGTTGATTGAGACACAGTTCAGTTGTAAACAATTGTCAAGAAAAAACCCCACATATAGAAAAGACTAAAAATGACACCTGTGGTTGAGCCTTCTGTTAGAGCTTCAACTCATACCACTTTGGAACAATTCAAAGAGGTCAAAAAACACACATTCACTGGAAATGGTGACAATATAATCATATTAATCATTAAAAACCATCAATGAATTGTTAACAAATAAATTATTAATAATATGATTCCTGTTTTTACAGAAGTCATGTGGTGGAGATGTCCTCAGAAAATAATGAAAGTTATCAATGTGGAGAAATCCTCAACCAGATTCCAAAACTTAATGTGCACGAGAGACTTTCTACTGGAGTAAAATCCTATGGAAAAAATAAGCTTGAAAAAGCCATCACAGATCCTTCCTCCCTAAAGAGTCACACAGCATCACCTCAACACAGACAAAAGCCCTATCAGTGTAAGGAGTGTGGGAGAACTTTTACCTGTCAATCCTCCTTAAGGGCCCACGTAAGAGCTCACACCAAAGAGAGATCTTATGTATGTAAAGAATGTGGAAAAGCTTTTATGTATTTTTCCAAACTTAGCATGCATATAAGAACTCACACTGGAGAAAAACCATATGACTGTGGAAAGTGTGGAAAATCCTTCAGATCTCCCTCAAACCTTTGGACACACAGAGAAACTCATACTGTGGAGAAACCTCATGCTTGTAAAGAATGTGAGAAATCCTTCTCTTCTCCCTCTTCACTGAGAAAACACATGAAAGTCCACAGTGCAGAGAAAGCCTACAAATGTAAGGAATGCGGGAAAGCCTTTCTTCATTCTTTTTACCTGATCATCCATGCAAGAATGCACACCGGAGAGAAAGCCTATAAGTGTGTGGAGTGTGGGAAAGCTTACCGGTGGCCCTCAGACCTCAGGATTCACATGAGAACACACTCTGGAGAAAAGCCTTATGAATGTAAACAATGCGGGAAGTCCTTCCGTTCTCCCTCATCCTTTAAGGGACACGTCCAGACTCACACTGGGGAGAAACCGTACGCGTGTAACGAGTGTGGGAAAGCCTTCACTAGTCTCTCATACTTCAGAACACACGCGCGAATCCACACTGGAGAGAAACCCTACACGTGTGAGCACTGTGGGAAAGCCTTCAATAGCCCTTCATACTACAGAACGCATGTGAGAGTTCACACCGGAGAGAAGCCCTACAAATGTCAGCACTGTGGGAAAGCCTTCAGCTGGTCTTCATCTTTTCAAGGACATCTGAGAACTCACAGTAGAGAGAAACCCCGTGAGTGTGAGGAATATAATACAGCACTCAGGAGACTGATCCTTACACAGACATGTGAGAATTCACACTGGAGTGAAACTCTCTAAATGTAAGCAGCGTGGAAAAGCCTTCGTAGTCTCCTATCCTTAAAAAACACATGAGAACTCACACAGGAGGGAAACTCTGTCAGTAAGTAGTACGGGAGAGCTCTCAGCAGACTGTGTACTGTATGCAACGAACTTCATACCTTTCGAAATGTTTATCACAGTCTTGAATATAGTGTCGGCTTTATTAGTGCCTTATGCTTAGAGTAGGCCTCTACCATATCCAGTTTTTGCTGAGAAAAACATTTAGGAGATAAACATTCCTTTAGGTATTACTTTGCAAGGGTTGCAACAAATTGTCACAAAGTTGGTGGCTTATAAAACAGATTTATTCTCTCATAGTTTTGGAGATTAGAATTCCAAAATCAAGAAATTTTTTAGGTCAGGTTCTCCTGGAGATTCTGAGGGAGAATCCAGTCTCTCCAAGCTTCTGGTGGCTGCCCACAGTCCCTTGGCATGTAGATGCATAACTCCCATCTCTGCCTCCGTCTTCCTGTCACCTTTTCCTCTGGGTTTTATCCTCTTCTCTTATAAGTCATTGGGTCCAGGGCCCACCCTAACCCATGGTGATCTCATCTTGAGATCCTTAATTACATCTGCAAAGATTCTTTACAAATAAGGTTGTGCTCACAGGTTTTGGGTGGACATATCTTTTGCGGGGGGCCACCATTTTGCCCACCCCATACACAGCCAGGATCCAAAAGATTTTTGACTTTTGGTATACAGAGTTTTAATTACGAATTGCTTGTACAAAAATTGTTTTATTTACACTATGAAATCTTTTGGATCCATAGATCTTTTGGAAGTGTGCTTTTAATATGTAATTGTCAGAATCTCAGATGGTTTTATTTATTTCTCATTTTCATTATGTTTCAAACGTGGGTATTATTTGGATCCATAGATCTTTTGGAAGTGTGCTTTTAATATGTAATTGTCAGAATCTCAGATGGCTTTATTTATTTCTCATTTTCATTATGTTTCAAACGTGGGTATTATGATAATGAGACTTTGGTATCATTAGGATTTTATTTATTGTCCTAATGTCACAGATACTGTAATTTATATACCTGATATCCATCCTCTCTTTCCTCCTTTCTAAGAAAACAATATTTTGGGGACTCTTAGTCTTTATGATAAAGATGTATATTGAGCGTGTTTTGTAGAGAGTGGGCACAGCATTCATTGCCCTGCAGGAATTGCTCAGTACCAGGCTGTTGGATGAGGACGCCGCAGCCAAGGTATTTTCCTCTTTTGCCCTTTTCTGTTCATTTTAGCTCCTGGCTGGGAGTTGGACACAAGGTTTTTAGTTAAAAAGAGACCTAAGGGGCTGGTCAGTTAGCTCAGTTGGTTAGAGCTTGGTGTTGTAATACCAAAGTCAAGGGTTCAGATCCCCATACTAGCCAGCTGCCAAGAAAAAAAAAAAAAAAAGAGAGAGAGAGAGAAACCTTGTTACTGAAGATGATAGAAGCTAGAATAGATGTGTGGTGCTGGATTACCCAAGTCCACATGGTACATGTTCTACATTTCACAGAATCTCTTTCCTGTATTGTTCCAAACTGGAGTTGGTCAGAAGCAAGACTTGCATGAGATCTGGAAGGCAGAAATGAAGAGTACGTCATACTTAGTTTTTGGAATTATCATACAGGGAGATGGGTGTAGAAGGGCTTGGTGGGCCTTTCCCATTCCCAGTTGATTTTGCTGCTTTCTGGGCCTGCTGATAAAGTGTCCACAAACCAAACACCAGGTGCAGTTCTGTGTCACTTAACAGCAGGGATATGTTGTAGCGAATGCATCATTAGGTGACTTTGTCATTGTGCAGACATCATAGAGTGCACTCGCACAAACCTAGATGGTACAGCCTTCAACACACCTACACTATATGGCTCTTAGGCTACAAACCTGTACAGTATGTTACTGTACTGAATACTGTAGGTAACTAGCACAGTGATAAGTATCTGTGTATGTAAAAATACCTAAACATAGAAAAGGTACAGTAAAAATATGGTATGAAAGATAAAAAGTGTTACACCTGTGTAGGGCACTTACCATGAGTGGATCTTGCAGGACTGGAAGTTGCTCGGGGAGTGAGTGAGTGAGTGAATGTGAAGGCTGAGGACATGACTGTGCACTGCTGTTGTCTTTGTAAACACTGTGTGCTTGGGCTACACAAAATTTATTTAAAAATAAAGTCGTTGTGCTATAATGTCACTAGGCAATAGGAATTTTTTTTTTTTTTTTTTTTTTTTTTAAAAAGATGACCGGGGGCCGGCCCGGTGGCGCACTGGATAGTGCGCGGCTTGGGAAGC